CAATGATAAAACATTTTGTATGTATTTTGTTTGAGTGCTACTGATCATGTTAGTTTATAATTTGTGTTCCAAATTCTTTCCCAATCCACTAGTTCTATGTTGTAACCAAAGTTGTTGGCCCACGCTATCATGCAACCTTTAACTTTTTCTTCTTCTAATGTTACTTCTAATAAATATTTGTAAATTTTTGTTATGAATTTATTTTCCGGGCCAATTAAAATTTTATCTATGTGTTGTAATTCTGTGAATATTCCATATTCTTTTACGTCTTTTTTTGTATCTCGATTGTAGTTGGAGATATGGCCGGGAGGAACTAATTTTTGAGGCCCATTTCTTAAGTCAAACAGAGAGGACGCTCAAGAAGGAAGACAACCATGCAGAAGCCTGGCAGTGACAGGGACAGGAGACAGCTGTTTCAGACTGTCTCCTGCCCCTGATGTAGCTGTCAATCCTGGAAACTCATTTCTTGCAGACACTTTTCTCCATACAAAAGGAAGCGTGCTTTCTTGCTTCTTCCATTTGCAAAAGTGGTTCCATACTTGCTTGTAGATGAGTGATGTTATTGTCAAGGGGAAAGGATTGAACCATAAGCAAGATACTCGGGGGAATCTCCATGCCCCTTGGGTGAAAAGGTTGGCTCTTGCCTGCATAGAATTATGTATCTCCTTCCTTCTCTCTCCCTCCCTCTCTCTCTCTCTCTCTCTCTCCCTCCCTCCCTCCCTCCCTCCCTCCCTCTCTCTCTCTCTTCCTGTCTTTTGCTCTGCCTTGGTTCAGCAAATTACAGTAATAGCACAACAACTTGAAAGCATTGGGAGGGTAGATATGGGACACTGGTAATGAGGCTCAGTTGGGCTTGAGTTTTTCCCCTCCAGAAAGGGCAAGTTCTTATTTTATAGACTTTTAAATAGACTTTTCATCAGCCTGTTTCAAATCAGTGGTTGAGTGTTTGACGTAATAACTGTTCTCACAACTGCCGCACAGTGACATTTTTAACAAGAGAGGCGTTAAGGGCAGAGGGAGTTTATCAGTAAAAATGACCCACACATCCTTTTAAGATTAACTTCATTTAATACAGCTTCTTCTAGAACCATTCCTAGAGTGATCTGTGAAATGTGAATATTAAATTCTCGTCTCTTCAAAGACCATTCTCCATAGGCGAAGTTCTGATGCCTTACTAGAGGGCTTAGTTTCCTTTTGATCAGACATATGTTACAATTATAATTATTTGTGTTATTTGGAATGCACTAGCAGATATTGCAAAACCAAAAACAATCCCTCTTTTATTAAAGGCTCCAAGTATTTGGGGAGAAGATCTGTTGTCAAATCCTCTGTAGAATTCAGATCAGGGATCTACTAGCAGAATTCTATAGCCTCATTTTAATTCATCTCTCCCTCCCTCCCTCTCCCTCCCCCTCCCTCCCTCTCTCTCTCTCTCTCTCTCTCTCACCTCCTCCAATCCCTCCTCCTCCTCTTCCTCCTCCTTCCACACACAGAGAGAAACAAAGAGGTTTAGAAACTGTATACTAGCAAAACGAACATACCTATAATCGGAACATTCCCCCATGCAAAGGTTGTTATAAATAGATGCTCCAGACCCTTGACATTTGACTGATTGTCCGTCCCCAATCAATCCCCTTTGTGTTTGGACATCAGCTCTCCTCAACCTTAACTCAAGTGGGAATAATTGGAGGTATAACATTTTAGCATGTTCAGAAGACATCAAGTGGAGGGAAGCTGATTTTTCACGCATAGCAAAAATTTTTTTTGCCATGTTGTGTTCCAACAACATTTCAATGTTGGCACGTAAATTGCACCTCTGTCTCTTCTCTCCCGAATCCTCCCAATGAGGACATGTAGCTGGTGAAAGAATACCAGAACACCAGTAGGTAAGATCAGAAAATGGGCCTGCCACCAATTTTATAAGACCAAGTAATTAAAAAAAGTACAATTGGAGGGGAAGGAAATGCTTAAGGGAAATCATGCATCTTTGTTTTGAATATAGACAGTCCCTCAGGCAATGCTCTCACTTCAATGTGCAGTGAGACAGAACAGATGGAAATTGGAAAAACACAAAGCACCTTTAGAAACCAGAAAGGAAGGCAACTGGAGTAAAGGTGAAGGTTAAATACAAAGTCAGGCTTCGTTTTCTGGAGTCCCAAATTTTGTTATACATTAGAAATATTTCCAGGCACAGAAGAGTTTCGCATCATTGGATGTCAACATTGTTAATGGAACATTATTTAAGAGGTTTTGGTCTGTCATAATTCCTTCTTTCATCATTTAGTTAATTTATAAAATATGGGTAAAGTAGACATAGAAATAGGGCCTACTACTTCAATCAAAATAGATCAATTCTTAGATGTGAAAGTGTAGCATAGGTTTATCCATATTAATTAGGAAATTATGCAAGCACTATAATATAGCAGTAATAGCAATAGCAGTTAGACTTATATACCGCTTCATAGGGCTTTCAGCCCACTCTAAGCGGTTTACAGAGTCCGCATATTGCCCCCANTCATGGGCCCATGATTTTCAACCTCAGATCATGGGCCCATGATTTTCAACCACAGATCATGGTCCCATGATTTTCAACCTCAGCAACTTTAAGATGTGTGGACCTCAACTCTGATTGGGGAATTCTGGGAGTTGAAGTCCAGACATCTTAAAGTTGCTGAAGTTGAGGAACACTGCTCTACATCCTTTTGATCTCAGTTTGCAAAATGAAAAGAATACAGCCAAATCCAGAGGCTACTATTACAGAGATCGACTAATTCATATATCACATTTATGTTTCACCTCATAATTTGCAAAATAATGTAGCTGGAAGGGTCCTTGGATTTCATGAATTAGTCACAATTTGACTTGATTTCACAATATGCTACTGTAGGTACAGATGATGTGTACAAAAAAACAATGGCTTAGTGTGTTGTGTGAACCCAGAAATTGTAATTCATAAAACGTAATTAGCGAAGGTTTTTCAAATTCATGATTGGCCTTCCAGGCTACATTTCAAGTATACAAGTTCCATCTGCCTGATTGTCTTTCTGTCCTTCTTGAATTCTCTTTCCTCTGCCCCATTTTTTAAAATTCTTAGTAGAAACAACAAATGTAAAATTGTGACTTGTTGTAAAATTGTGACACGATATGCTTATAAGCCTCATCTTGATAGTTAAAAGAGCAATGACATAAAATATTAGAAATAAAAAGAGTTCTCGTCCTGGAGAAAATCTTATTTTAAAACAACACAACTTATTAGCATTAGAAACTGGCCAGGAGTGTAGGGCAGTGTGGTTTCAATTTCACAACACTTTTGGAGTGATTTCGCTGTCTTGCATTGATCTGATTTAATTGGCCAGTTAAAACAGTATAGTGTTCAAGAACTCTTAATGGAGTTAACAGCTCCACTCTGACCATAATTTATTGTTTAGAAAGAATTTCCTGGAGTATAAAACTTTGTTAAGGAGGAACTAATTTTTTGGCAGATTTTTTAAAATTATTTTTTTCCTTCTACAACACCTTACAGTCAACATCAACATTGTTATGTTATCATACTTGTACATGCATATAATATTTCGCTTCTATATTTACACACTTTATACACNGGATTGGTACTGCTCAAAAATCAAGTCTCAAGATCCCGTGGACCCCTTTGGCTCAGGCAATCCAATTCCATGCTTCTTCCCTCTCTCCCCAAAGCGAAGGAATCGCAGAAAAACTGCCGAGCCCAAAACGGGGCTTCAGACAACACAATGCCTGAGAAACCCCGGATGTGCAGAGAAATGCAGCGAATCCCGTTTTCCCAGGGACCGACGAAGCCCCAGAGAACAAATGGGAATTCTCTCTTCTGTAGCGTCATCGGTCTCCGGGCAGAGTCTTCCTTGAGTTCACCATTCACCAGATGGAAGAGAGAGTTCGGTGCAGAGAGAGAAGAGAGGGAGGGGGGATATTTTCAGTCACATTTAAAGACATTAAAAAACACCGCGCTGAAGTTTGAAACTTCTGCGCGGTGTTTTCTTGTTACCTGTGTGGCCGCGCAGGCGCGCAGCTTGGAGGGAACATTGGTTTGGAGAACCAGCAAATGCCACCTCTGGCTGGCCCCGCCCCATCTATTCTCTGCCTCCCGAGTCCCAGCTGATTGGGAGCGAATGGAGATTTTGCAGTATCCTTTCCCTGCCACGCTGACCAAGCCACGCCTACAGAACCGGTAGTAAAAAAAAAAAATCTGAATCCCACTATTGTCCATGACCTGTGTTAAGGCCTCTATCAGAGCTTTCATTTGGTCCATAATCCCGGGTGGTCGAAGATCAGCTGCTGTGGGAGTAAACATGGCTTCGGGAGCCTGCTTCCTCCTCTTTAGATTGCGGCTCCCCCTGATCTTCAAAGGCCTGGAAATCTTCCCGTGTCTCCGCCAGAATCTCACTGTCATCTAAACAAAGAGCCGGCTGGAGAAGTTGCTCTCTAGCATCATCTGGTGTTTGAGCACAAATCCTCTGTTGCTTTGACTCCATGGGCTGAGCTGGCGAAGCGCGGGAAATTCTAAACCTTTCATCACCATTTTTTTGCCCCCCCCCCCTTTTCCTTCGCTCC